CGGTTTCGTTTGTTACATTTTGGTTTTGTATTTGTGACATGTTGTGTTCTTCTTTATGTTCTTGTGTTTCGTTTTGTCCACATGAGTTTCTTGTTGAAACCCTTTCCCATCCTTTTTGTTGTTGACAAAAGGGGAGAAGAATTTCATGTGTTTGTATGTGTGTATACTGTGTTTTTTTCTCTTCTAACCAAGGGGGAGCATCATCCAAGGGGGAGCACTTGAGCACTTGTTAGAAAAGTCACAAAAAATTTCAAAGAAGATGTTGTCATCATAAAAAAGGGGGAGACTGTGAAGACATGACTTCTCAAAAGGTTTTGATGATGAAACACTCTACAACATATAAGGATGGATAAAAGAATCTCAAAGAAATCAAGCTTAAAAAACTTCAATGTCAAATCAATATGTCAAGACTTGTTAAAGAATGAAAACAAAGTTCTACACAAATGAAGGTACAACATTCAGCTTCTATATAGCTTGTACAAATGTTTAACTTCATCTTTCATTCTTGCATATCTTTTTAAAATTATTTTAAAACTCTTAAAATGCATTTTGCCTCTGTTTCAAAGTGTTTTTAGCAAAACATGTTCAGAGTAATCGGTTACCTATTCCTGATAATCGGTTACCTTATGTAAACTTTCAAATCTTTTCAAACGTTGAGGCTGGTAACCGATTACCCACATATGATAATCGGTTACTACTGGTGCAGTGAGCCAGAAAATTGCATCTGTTGGCAAAATTGTGTTTTCTCTTTTCTTCTTGAACCACGGAAACTCATGGTGATTTGCACTCTTTTGAAAAGGTGTTTAGAGACATTTATATATCTCATAATCTCGAACTTTGAGATTAACCTCCTTGCAAAAATTCAAATTTCATTTCATCTCTCAAATTCCAAATTTTCACAAGTGTAAAAAATTCTCAATTTTCAAGAATAAAACTACTGCACCTCAAATTCCATTATTTCATCATAGTTTTGTTCCTCTATTCTTGAACACTTGTATTTGATATATAAGAGTTTATATGTCAAGAAGAAGATCAATCTCAAGATTGATAGTCAAATATTGCTGCAAACTACTCAAAATCAGAATTATTTGTTCTTTGATTACATCTTATTTTTCCAGGATTGTTGAAATTAAGTTTGTAAGGTTGTAACCTTGTTGTCCAGGATTTTTGGAAGCAAGAGGTCCATTTTGAGAGGATTGTTCTCATTGAACTTAGTAATAAAAATCCAAGAGGGTTGTTCTTGGTGTTTCTATTGGTTAGAGTCTGTATAAGAAAGACTAGGTAGAAGTCTTACCTTAGGATCTAACAAAATTGAAAAATCTCTTTCGTGTTGAAAGGGGACTGGAGTACTCTCGGACTGTGAGGGGAACTAGGATACATCGTTGTGTCTCTTTACTTTATGCTTTTACTGCATTCAATACTTAGTAGCTTTTAGGAAAGTAAAATAAGAAATCTACATAAAGACCAGAAAAAAATTTCAGTACCTAATCCCCCCCATCTTAGGTGCAACTCTACTTACAGTCTCTGGGTGATAGGTTGTGCTATACTTCAATATAGTGCCCTGAACCTTGAAGAAATGCTTCCAAAATTTGATGAGGAACAGAGGGTCTCGGTCAGATATGATAGATTTAGGAGTCCCATGAAGACGTGAGATTTCCACAGAGAACATGGTGGCCAGATCTTGAGCTGTGAAATGTGTAGGCAAAGCGAAAAAGTGTGCATACTTTGTGAGTCAGTCACATACAACCCAGATGAATGTGTGAACAAAAGAATTTGGTAAGTGTGTAATGAAGTCCACAGTTAGGTCTTCCCATACTTGGTTAGGGATTGGAAGAGGCTGTAATAACCCTTTTTTCTTCTGTGTCTGATATTTGTTGTGTTGACAGGTAGAACAACACTTAACAAGATCTTTAACAAAAATATATAAGCCTGGCCACGAGAAAGATGCAGAAACACAAGCTAGAGTTGCCTTGACACCTGAGTGTCTAGTTGTGGGAGTATTATGGAACTCATGAAGTATACTATGATGAATTCCTGGTAGGCCAGGTATGAATAATTTGTCTTTGTAGTACAATAAGCCTTTTGAAAACTTGTAGAGAGAGTTGTTGGTGTTATGTATTATTTTCTCAACTAATGTTTTCCATGTTGTGTCTGTTTCATAAAATTCATTCAGTTTGGATAAGAGGTATGTAATTGGAGACGACAAAGTCAACAATACAGGATCTTCAGTGTGAAATTTTCTACTTAAAGCATAAACAACCAGATTTGATTTTCCAGGTTTGTAAAAAATTTCAAAATTAAATCCTTGCAATTTAGACGCCTATTTTTGTTGTTCTGGTGTTTGTATATTTTGGAGTAAAATATTACACAAAATCTTCTAATCTGTATATATGTCGAATTTTTGGCCGATAAGATATTGACGTTATTTTTTACTACCACTGTAATAGCAAACATTTCACGCACATAAACAGAAGCGGATTGCATGCGGGGACATAACTTTTTACTAAAGAAAGTGATATGATGACTGCCTTAGGATAACCCTGCTCCGACTATAACTCCAAATGCATCAGTCTTAACAATGAACTTTTTTGTAAAGTCTGGCAAAGCCAGGACAGGCATGTCGGTCATTTATTTTTGTAATTCTGTAAAGGCTAAGGCCGCCTCTGTACTCCATATGAGTTTATTGAAACGTAACAAATCGGTGAGGGAAGCGGCGAGTGTAGCATAGTGACGCACAAAATGACGATAAAAACCAATAAGTCCTAAGAATCCGCGAAGAGCTGTGAGAGAACGCGGTTGAGGCCAATACAAAATGGCCTTAACTTTTTCTGGATCAGGTGCAACACCACCCGCTGAAATTACATGACCAAGATAATAAACTTGATTCATTGCAAAAACACACTTGGATAATTTCACAACAAAAGAATTGTACCTTAACAACTCAAAAATAATATGCAAATGAGTTGAATGATCATTGATATTTGCACTATAAATCAGTATGTCATCAAAGAAAACTAAAACAAATTTGCGTAAATGAGGGCGTAATAAATCATGAAAAGTGGATGGGGCGTTAGTGAGCCCGAAGGGCATGGCTAGAAATTCGCAATGCCCGTTAAAAGTCCGAAAAATTATTTTGTGAGTGTCTTCCGATGCAACTCGGATCTGGTGGTAACCTGAGTGTACGTCTAACTTGGTGAAATTTTTGGCTGATCCCAATTCGTCTAGGAGTTCATCGATGGTAGAGATTGAAAAACGATCTTTAATCGTAACAGCATTGAGAGCCCGATAATCAACATAGAAGTGCCAAGTACCATCTTTTTTTACAAGTAACACAGAGGGTGAAAATGAGTTGTGACTAGGAATAATGACACCTTATTTTAACATATCTTGGATAATATAGGACATTGCTTCCTTTTGTGAGTGAGGGTATTTGTATGGTTTAACGTTGATAGAGGATGTGTTGGGTTCTAGAGAGATGTGATGGTCATGTGGGTATTTAGGAGTTAGGCTTGAGTGTTATTGGAAAATTGTTGGGTATGTATGCATCAAGTTATGAATTTTTGGGTGTAAGTCTAGTGGTAAGGATTGAAAAGTTTGGGTTGGGATAAATGGGCTGGTTGTATGGGGATTAATTGGTTGAAAGGTTAGTAAATGGAATGAGGATATTGAGTTAGTATGAATAAGATGGCGAAGTTGATGGAAAGTGGTATGGATTAGGTGAGATGTTGGGTCTCCTTTTAAGGTTACGAATTCTTCTTGATGGGTAAAAGTGATCGAGGGAATAGAGAAATCTTCCTGAATTAGACCAAAAGTGTGTAACCACGTCATGCCCAAAACCACGTCAGCGCCTTCAATTGGCAATAAATAAAAAGGAAGTTGAAAGGGTTTATTTTGTAGCACGATTTGAACATTATTGCAGATTACCTCACATTGTAAATGTGATCCATTTCCCAACGTTACTAAAAATTGAGGTATAGGGGTTGTGTTGAGGTTGAGATGGTGAACAATTCGTGGTTGGAGAATGTTATGGGTGCTGCCTGTATCAACAAGTACCATGGCTGATAATCCACTAATTAAGCCTTTAAACTTGAGTGTTTGTGGGGAAATTTGACCTGTCAAAGCTTGAGTGGAAAGTTGAAAATATGTGTCTCTTTCCTCATATTCAGAAGTTTCAGGGTCAATATTGTCCTAAACTAGATTTTGGTCTTCCATAACTTCCTCTTCTGCCAAAAGAAATAAAAATCTAGTGGTATAGCATTTGTGTCCCAGAATAAATTTTTCATCACAATTAAAACATTGCCATTGGGCCCTTCTTTCTTGAAGTTGGTTTTGAGAAAGATGTCGAATGAGAAATTTGGGAGGTATGATGGATGATTGAGGTTTGAAAGTGTTAGTTTCTTGTGGTTGAAGAGATTTTGAAGTTGAGGGTTGAAAGTTAGAGAAAAAGGTGCTGGTTTTTTGGTAAGGGGTAGTGAAAGATTTGGAGAACAAGGATTGAAAGCACCAAATGCTAGACTACCCCTTAGTTACCTATAGATCTAAAATGACAAAAAAAATAAAAACACAAGACATAAATTTTTCAGAATTTTCATTACCTCAAAGTAACAAGAAGATGAGAATAAATAATTAGAGTTTACAAAAGGACTAATGCGTCATGGGCCCAAATAAGTAAAAACACAAACAACAAGTAATAACTAATAATTGGACACCCTAATTTAATAACTAATAATTGGACACCCTAATTTAATAGTAACAATTCTTCAATAAAACAGATATCTTCTTGTCTCTAATGATTTTTGAACTCTTCATATCAGAAGTTCTAATATTTATTGCTAAACATCTACCACTAAAAAAATATTCTATTAATTTCTCCATCAATCAAAGAAAATGGTACAATTATTCATTTAAAAAGTGAGATAATAAACTTCTTAGTTTCTAGTTTGCATATAGTAGTAATATGATAAATAACAAATAGTATATTCATCAATTGGTTTGGAAACTCAATTGCTCAACCCTGCTGTGAACTTGATACCTGTTCTAGGCAACCATGAACCGCCGTTAAGGAAGCGGTTAACCGTAAAGAAACCGGCGGTAGAGGCGTCTTTAATGACATGATAACCAGGCCAATTAACCCTACCTGCAAGTGATGAACCAGGGCCATAGTTTCTGTATTCGCCGTACCAGAGAGTGTCCAATGCAAAGTTTCCAAGCCACTCGAGCCAGCCTCGAGGTTGAACCATACTACTCATGTATGTGTTAATGTAAACTGTTCTAGAATATTGTTTCCATGGCCTTCCCAAATATGTTGGTTGCGAGGCCAAAACATAGCTATCTTGGATCGTAAACCCCGTGCTTTGATGAGGACTTTTCCTACCTTGAGCTGTGATTGTTACCTTTTGTAATGGAAGTGGAACTCTTGTGTATATCTTGCAGTTTTGTAGCACGGCAGCTCCATTGCCAAAAATGAAGTCTATGGTTCCATAAATCTCGCATTCGCGGTAGAATTGTCTCAACGAGTGCGCGTAAAGCGTGTCTTGGTGCCCTTCTACGCTACACCTAAAGAATGCAGATTGGTCTGAATCCACACGCAGTGCCACGGCTTGATGGTTTACTGGTCCAGCTGTGTTCCGGAATGTCATGTCCCTCGCAATGAAACCCTTCCCAGATACAGCTACATATTAACATTTCAAATTATCAAACAATATTCTCTAGCACACTTTTTTCAATATATAATGTTAATTAAGAACTTTACTTACCAAATGTGGCAGTTCGAAAAGTGGTCCATCCTTGCATGAAATTGCGATTGCTTGTGATAATGGTTTGGCCAATACCGTCGCCAACGATCATGATGTTGGTCATCTTCTTCTTCATATCAACATTCTCCTTGTAAATTCCCTTCTTCACATAGATAACATGCCTCCTATTGCTATGACTTGGAGCTGCATTAAGAGCCTCGTTGATTGTACGGTAGTGACCACTTCCGTCCAACGCAACAACCGCATCTGCAACTGTCCCGCGAGGTTTAGATTTAAGAAGCTCTTGATCAGCCTCGGTCATCCATTCGGGAAACTCCAAGCTTTCATCGGTGCTTGTTTCATGCAGGGTAGTGTTCCTTGGAGGCCTAAAGGGTAAGCGATTAAGCTGAGTGTACAATGACAGAACATTACTGATAAGCTGTGTTACTTGTGTTAAGCTTCCACTAATGTAACTTTCAAGACGTCTATCAGTGCCTTCGAAGCCTTCAATACACGTGTCTTGGTTGCTAAGTGCCGCACTTAGCCACGCTTCGAGGTTTCCCTCGTATTGCGCGGTGCTGTCGCCGGCTCGAATTCTCCTCATCTCACCTAATGACCATGCAAGCTCTGATACAGAGAAATCAAGAAGCTCCTTGCAATCTTCTATTGCAAGTTGCTCACGGTTATTAACAGAAAAAGTACTTATCTTTGTCATGTTGTTGATCGCACCTATGGCTTCATTGATCGTGGTTCTGAGTGCAGCATTAATTACTGAAGTCGGACTCGGAGGACCAGTTTTCGTTAGCTCGTTATGAATGTTTGTGAGGCATAAGTTTTGGTTTTCAATATCCATGCAGGCTTGTGCAATCAAAGCTTGCATGTCTTGGGTTTGCATTTCTGAGGGAAATTCATCTGGGAATGAGAGAACCTGATCAAATGATGGAAAAAGGACGAGAATGAAAAGGAAATTTACAAGAAATGCCATCTTTCCGTTGCCAGAATCAGAAAGACAGACAAATTTGCTTATGGTCTTTCGAAGAACCTTTTAATTATTTATAATGATCTTTGCTTTCTAAGTTAATTAAGGAATTTTCTTCCGAGTTTAAATATTCACATTCCTTTATGCTTTTGTTCTGGACAGAACTCTCAAGTTATTCTAATGCTTTCTTTTGTTGGAGGCTTGGCATGATATTCCATGCATACACCTTTGTTTTTTCCTTGATCGTTAAGCAAAATAGAGAAATGAAAACCTATGAATCACAAACCAAACCTATCAGTATTCTTTACTTTTTACTGCCAGAAAACTTGAGTAAGTTGCTTTTGCATGCCTTGCATATTTTTGCCAATTAATTTAATTAGTTCTTGTTTAGCCGAGAAATTCAACTTAGATTACATGCTATTAATGAGCTTCAATTAAAGACAAATCATTTGAGTCGAGGTTAAAACAATTCTTAGTCAATCTTTACTTATATTCCAATTGAAATCCAAATTATTGTCATGAAATTTGGCTTGATGCCTTTCTCATTGCCTTTCATACTATATATAATAGTGTCGGTAATTACAACTCATAATAACTAATTACAGCTCATAATAACTAATTACAATTCATAATGACTAATTTCATATTCTATGAATGTAAATTATTCACAATAACTGCAAAGATTATTTCCTGATTAACATCCCCCCTCAAATTGATGCGGCTGGTCAAGGAGCATTAATTTGCTAACAAGAAACTGATGTCTTAGGCGTGGAACAGCCTTAGTAAGAATATCTGCAACCTGCAACTGAGTACTGACGTGAGGAAGTGATATTATTCATCATCGTAGGCGTCACGTATTGAATGACAATCAACTTCGATATGTTTGGTGCGTTCATGAAAAACAGGATTTGCAACAATTTGGATGGCACTTGTATTGTAGCATAAAGTGAAGTTGACTCTGTTCGGGGAAATCCAAGTTCAGCCAAAAGACCATGAAGCCAAAGTATTTCTGAACAAGCAGCAGACATGGCACGATACTCTGATTCAGTAGAAGATTTAGAAACTCTTGCTTGCTTCTTACTTTTCCAAGAGATCAATGAAGAACCAAGAAACATACACCAACCAGTAACAGATCGACGAGTATCAGGACACCCTGCCCAATCAGCATCACTATAAGCACTCAACTGAAGAGAAGTTCCAACTGAAAAGAATAATCTGCGGTGAGAGGTTCCTTTTAAGTAGCGAATTATACGACGAACTGCAGCCAAGTGAAAATGGCGAGGAGAATGCATGAATTGACTTACTTATTGAACAACAAAAGATATGTCATGGCGAGTAATAGTCAAGTAGTTGAGGCTACCCACAAGTTGTCGATACAATAAGGGATCAGGCAACAGATCCCCATCATCACGATGATATTTAACATTAACCTCAAGAAGAGTATCTACTGGATTAGCCGATTCAAGACCGGCCATAGAAATCAAATATGTAGCATACTTGTGTTGATGGAGAAAGATGCCCTTGGATGTAGAATCAACCTCAAGACCAAGAAAATAATGTAGATTACCCAGATCATTCATATGAAATTAGGCCTGTAACTGTTGCTTAAGTCGCTGAATGGAAGCATGATTCGAACCAGTAATAATCATATCATCAACATACAAAAGAAGCAGAACAATACTTGCAAATGTGCTATGAATAAATAAAGATGAATCATACTGACTCTGAGTAAAGGAGAATCCAAGTATAGTGGAGCGGAATTTCTCGTACCATGCTCGAGGTGCCTGTTTCAAACCATATAAGGAGCATTTGAGCTTACACACGCCTTTAGATGAAGAGAATAAGCCTTGAGGTGGAGTCATATAAATATCTTCTGTCAGGTCACCATGAAGAAAAGCATTCTTCACATCCATTTGATGAAGAGTCCACCCATTAGAAACATCTATAGACATGATCGTGCGGACAGTTGTCATTTTGGCAATCGGTGCAAATGTCTCATCATAATCAATTCCATATTCCTGCTTGTTTCCTAACGCAACCAAACGAGCCTTGTAACGGTTGAGGGACCCATCAGAATTCAATTTCACATAATACACCCATTTGCAACCTATAGGTTTTACATCTGGAGGACAAGTGACGATATCCCATGTGAAATTCTCTTGAAGATCTTGGAGCTCTTCAGTCATTGCTTTTATCCATCGCACATCTTTAACAGCCTGTGAGTAACAAGTAGGAATAGATATGCTAGAGAGTGTGGCAGTCAGAGAAGCATGTGAGGAATCATACTTGTCTGGTGAATATCTATCTGGTGCGCGAGATATTCGACCAGAACGTCGTGGTTCAACCGGTACAGGATCAGGTGGTAGTTCAGCATCGGGAAGGGGTGTGGGAACCTGTTGTCTGTGTTTTCTGACGTATACATAACCTGGTTTATAACGTTCTATAGCTTGAGGCATAATAGAAAACTTAGGAAGAGTAACAATATAATTAATGGCAGGAGAAACACAGGGAAACATAAACTGATTATCAGAAAATGTCACATTTTTAGAAATGCGAAAACGATGGTTAAAGACATCATAACACACAAATCCCTTATGAGAGTTACTATATCCCATAAATGCACATTGAATCGATTGTGCTCCAAGCTTATGCCTTTCAAAAGGAGGTAAGTGAACAAAACACACACACCTAAAAGTATGTAAAGCACTATAATCAGGATGAATTTTAAATAGACGGAAGAAAGGATAATCAAGATCAATAACTGTAGAAGGAATACGATTGATCAAGAAGACAGTCGTGGAAAGAGCCTCCACCCAAAACCGGGATGGTACAGAAGCTTGGAGAAGTAAGGTGCGTGTTACATCAAGCAAATGACGATTCTTACGTTCTGTCGTGCCATTTTGTTGAGGGGTATTGGGACAAGACCATTGAGACAAGATGCCTTTTTGTTGAAGGTATTCCTGAAACTCATGAGACATGTACTCACCACCAGAGTCAGATCGAAATTTTTTAACACTTGCTTGAAATTGAGTTTCAACATATGTTAAATATTTCTTAAACATAGAAAACACTTCGGATTTAGAATGGAGAATATATATCCAAGTAAAACGACTATAATCATCAATAAATGTGACAAAATATTTATAGTGAGCATGAGAAACCATATGAGACATTCCCCATACATCACTATGAATCATCTCAAAACAAGTGGAAGCACGATTAGCACCAGACGGAAAAGGAAGTCTTTTACTTTTAGCCAATTTGCAAACAAAACATGAAACAGAGGCATCAGGAATAACATTTTTATTTCCCAACAAGCCACTTTTACATAAATGAGACAAAACAAAAGAGTTTGGATGACCTAGTTTTCTATGACAATCCTCATAGGAATTCAAAACACTATGACAAGCAAGAGACAAATGATTAGAAATAAACTTTATTGGAAACAATCTTCCCACTTTAGGCCCCTTCGCGATCACTTTCCCCGTCACCTGCTCCTGCACAAGACAACCAGACCGAGAAAAATTAACATTACAATTATTGTCCACCAATTGACCAACAGACAATAAATTAGAAGCAAATCCAGGTGAGACAAGCACATTCTGAAAATCCGAGTTTATGTCCCCAACGTTAGTAATAGACAAGGTATTACCATTAGCAATCTGAATTTTCTGATTACCATGATAAGAATGTAAATTGTGCAAGTTTTCAGATGAACCTGTCATGTGATTGGATGCACCAGAATCAATAAACCATGGACGAGAAACATGAGAAGACTTACCCTTAATACCCAAGGCTGAAAGGGCAAAAAGCACCATGTGTTGAATCATTTCAAGTTGTAGAGCATTGCCATCTGATGCACCATTGGTGGAAGAGCCAATTGTATGGCCTGTAGTGGCATGAAATGCCTTCACCGAATGATGTGTTGGTCGTGGAGGACGTGTCGAACAGTTAGAAATGATATGACCTTGTTGTTTGCAATAATTACAAAACTTCTTACTGTAGCTACGAGCAATATGTCCAAACTATTTGCAAGAAAAACATTGGACATGTTGCATATCACGACCTTTATTTCTACTTTGAGCAGCATATGCAATTGCCACAGGCTCAGAATAGGCAGTATCATGAGACATTGTTCCTTGAGTAAGGAGACATTGTTCCTCCCTAAGAAGTTCACCAACACATGTATCCAAAGAAGGAACAGGATTCCTATTTAGCAAAGCACCTCTGACAACCTCAAATTCTAGACGAAACTTCATGAGGAATTGATCTCGCCTACTTGTGTTGTAGACCTCTTGAACAGCCGCAAGAGAGGTCTTGGGAACATTAGCATATATAATAGCAGAGTGTTCTGCCCAAAGATTCAAAAAACTAGAATAGTATTCTTGAATAGACAAATCACCTTGTTTGTAGTTGGCGATGTCTAACTCCAACTGAAAACGTTTTGCCGAATTGTCCTGGTCGTAAATGCACTTCAGATAATTCCACATTTCTTGAGCAGTTGAAAAAGAACGCAAATTATTTATCCTCTGAGGATCAATATTGTTTAGAATCCAAGTGATAATTTGAGTATCTTTAGTTTCCCACGCATCTAAATACGATCAAATCCACGATTTGGAAGGAGTGGTAAAACAGAAGATTATGACGATCCAGAATCACGAAGCAACAACAGTCAAGAACCAAAAAAAATTGATTGCAATATCAGCGCAACAACGAGAATCTCCAAGACGAAATCACGAACCGGCAACCAAAGATTTAGAATCTCATACAGCTGCAAGGTTTCGAATTCAAACGAAAGAATTTCGAAACGAACACGATTACGAGAGCGAACCAGTGGGGTATCGCTGATCAGCCAATATAATAATATTTTCCAGGTTTGATCGAACCTACTGATACCATGTCATGAAATTTGGCTTGATGCCTTTCTCATTGCCTTTCATACTATATATAATAGTATCGGTAATTACAACTCATAATAACTAATTACAGCTCATAATAACTAATTACAATTCATAATGACTAATTTCCTATTCTATGAATGTAAATTATTCACAACTGCAAAGATTATTTCCTGATTAACAATTATCACGTCTTCCTTCTCCTTAAAGCGGAGTTACGTAGATATTATACTAATATATCTATCAGGGTTGTCTTTAGGTTCTCATTATTTAAGTTCAGTCAATTTCGTTGTTCATTGAATAGGAAATGTTAGAATCCTATAAGAACTAAGAAGGTGATAAAAGAAAATACGAGGAGAAGAATAAAAGAGAATGAAAAATTACTTCGTACGCTAAAGAAACATAGAAAGAGATAATTGAAGGGAAACATAATCATTGTCTTGTAATTGTAATGATATCTGAATACACCTTAATGCAATAACGCGAAGTTAATAAGAGTTGCATATCGTTTTCGGCTCTATGTTTAAGCTAGCTATGTTGATAACTAACTTAATTGACCATTAAGCAACATTCTCTCGCTTCTGCATTCACCAATAGCATAGCTAATCCCATCTGATCTTGCACCCTCTTGCACGAATTATTTCGAGTATTTCTGAGGATATCGAAAACCTAAGAGACCTTTGTAGTTTAACCTTTTTAATCCGGCCACAACAAGATCTAAGGGAAAGTTCCAAACCTTGTATAGTGACATTAGTAAGATACACCAGTTTGGCATCCTGGAGGCGTTTCAGGTTACCCATAAGCAGGCACAACACATGATCCGACACGTTACAGTAGCTCATATTTATCTGCCATCATCATAGCTATGTCGAGTTAGAACTTGAACCTCGTATACTAACATAACATTGTAATTGAGTAAAGTAGATACCACTGACCTGCTGTAGATTTTGTGCATAAAACGCAAGGGCCCAAAAACCCGAATCATCAATTTTTTCACAATGTTTCAAATCTAAACTAGCCAATCTCTTGCAACCGACAGCAACTGCTTTTATACCAATGCTTGTGATGTTTGAAAGCCCGCGCATCTCAAGATCAGAGAGTTCACTGAGATTGCTGATACATTTCAACCCTGTGTCTGTCATTCTATTGCAATATGATAGGTTGAGCATAGTCAACTTGTTGCATCCGGTTGCGAGTGCTGCTAGCCCATCATCTCCTATACGGACACAGCTGCAATAAGAAATGGAATGAACAAAACAGACTCACTACTTTGTCTACAATTTTGTTTAATCATAAAACATTTAGTCACATTGACTAAAGTTACCGATAGAGGTCAAGTTCGGTCAACTTTGTGCAGTTACAAGCAATGTGTGCCAATCCTATGTCTGATATGTTTGTGCATAATCCTAACTTCAACCTTACAAGTTTTGAACATCTTGATAGATATTTGAGTGCTGCACAAAGACGGAGTGTTGGAGATAAATTAATCAGAACCGTCGGCAATATTGTATGAGACTGATATACATATACAGATAAAACTTCAATAGTTTACCTATGTCATTCACGCCAGAGCAATCGGTAAGATCAAGCTCTTCAAGCATCAAGCATCTTGATCCAAGCTGATACAGACCGATCTCAGTAACCATATCACAAGATTCTAACTTCAAACACGCAAGGTTTGGACAAGAGTATGATATAATAGAGATGGCTGCATCAGTTATGAAACGACAACAAGTCAAATCAAGCGTCTTCAAATTGCCACAGCCAGATACTACCCGAATAATTCCCATGTTCGTCACCCCTATGCATTTGCTTAAACCAAGTTCCACTAAAGATTTGCAATTGGTGCCTATGATATGGAGGATAAAGTCAGAAACTCTAACACCCTCAATTCTAAGTATGCTCAGCCGTTTTAAATTCATCAAGCCGTTAATAAAAGACGCTGAAAGCTCCTGCAGGAAATGCCTAAGGTATTAGTGTATATCATGCTTATCACAGTAATATAGGGCATGGAATTAAATGTATACACCAAAGTTTAAGATACAAACTCACAGAAAGACAGTATCCTGCATTGATCTGCACAAGATCCTCATGTCCACTAATTACAGATAATAGGCCGGAGGGGCTAACACAGTTACACCTTGATACATCAATTGCCTGCGACACGTTAGGAAACTTGCTAAAGACATGCGTTCACACTCCAACTCGACCAAACCTACTTAATCAAAGTTTATTAATTTTGAAGTCGATATTGTGACAGTGTAACATTAGAATAAAAAAATTACCTTAAGTAGCGGACATCCTTTTTCAAGAAACCGCAATCCCACATCATCCACTAAATCACATCCCACCATAATGAAAACCTCGAGCTTTAACAAAGAAGCTATTGATCGTAAAGATTCGCTTGTCACCTAATGATGTAAGATGTCAAAATAATTTTACTATTCAAAGAAACAATAAATCAAACCAAATAAAAATCGGGTTATTAGTTGAGCAAGGTGATATAGTAAAACCGAAAAGCATATTGTCCTTGAAAGTTGAAATCGCCTACGTTTGACATTCAAATGATAGTATTAGAATTTAGAGTGACTTTGGGCGAATGCTTTCGGCTACAATGAGTTCGAACACCGTTGACAGAGACTAGTGTTAGTGCTACAAAACCTCTTTCCCAACATAACTGTCATAAATGAAGAATGGACAATATACCAGTTTTACCAAATTAACCTTATTAATCAGTTTTTACAATTACAAAACCAAAACAACGCGACACTCTTTTAGACAATTTTGTTTGCAAATGTGACATTTACTACATATCATAATTACAAAATTCCAGCAAAAACAGTATTAACAAACCTTGAGATACGAAACATCGAGAAACTTCAATTCCAAACACTTTTTACAAAGAAGCTCAATCCCAAGATCAGAAATCTCCAAACACCATTTCAAACTCAACCTCTCCAACCTACCACACCCAACTGCAATCTTCGCCAACCCAATATCCGTAACCATCAAACACTTATCCATACTAAGTTCCCTCAACCTCCCCGCGCACGATAGCGCAGAAGCCTCTCTGTCACCATATCCCCAACAATGCGACACATCAACCACTTCCAATAACGGACACGCCTTCACTAGCATCTCCAATCCAACGTATCCTAACCCGGTAGCTCGACTCAGCACCAATGTTCTAATTCCCCCAGTCCAACTCACCGATCCATGACTCAGTAAAATCGACACTGCTCCATCATCGATTCTCGGACATACAGACAGATCAAGCTCTTCAATGTTGCAATACTTTTGAAGCAAACCGAGTAAGAATTCAATCCGGAGAATCCGAATGGTTCTCCGGCTCGTTGATTCGACCCGGAGAAACTCTTTACATACTAACCGGAACGATTTCCGATCCGAATCAACTCTGTCGAGAATTTTTAGAACTAAGTCTTCTGTCAAAAGACAGAACAAGGATTCAGACAACATTGAGAAAAAAAAACTACGGTTTTTCTGTTCTTTTGTATTTAGGTTGGAACAAGAGGAAGAGAAATAGAAGAAGAAGAATTTGAAACGACGAAAGTGATTGGGAAATGCAACAACGTGTCGTTGAGTTCATTGTTTTGTGTTGGTTCAACTTCCAGGAAATGAAGAAGAGTAGTAAGAGAAGAATATAAAATTGGAAACATATGAAACAGAGTTTAATGTTGTTTCGCTTTCGTCGTGTAAGGGTACGGTTATGTCCTTTTGTTGTGTACCCTTATTAGTACGCTGTTTTGAAAAAAGTAAACTATAACTAATAGTGTGGAATTACCAAAAATGTCCTTTTCTATTTTCGATAGTGAAACGCGGGAGAAACGCGGGATCTGATCTGAGCAATGATTATGATAGGGACAGGGAAAGGAAGATTAATAATATATAAAAATAAAAATAAATTTTTGGTTTTTTTTGTCTCTTATGCTTAATTGGGATTGAGAATTTGGGTGCTGTGCTACTAGTTAATTTCAAGTTGAGGAAGAAAAGAGACAAAAATGACGCGTATTGCAAGAATAAAATAAAATTGCTACATAAATCTATTTTACAAAAATACTTAATTCTCATTGGATGTCGTCACTTCACTTGCACTATTTTATGGATCAATTAATCTATTATATGCTTAAGTTTTGATTTGTATGAGTCTTGTTTGTTGACTAAGTTACTGAACATCAATGATCTTAAGTTTAAATTAAAAATTTATATATCATCTATTTATTTCTTGAATTCCTGAACTTGATTTGTTGTATTGTAACACTCTAACAGAGATCTTAACTTGTTTCTTGTTACTCAAACTTCAAGAATCAAAACTGTTTTTGAACTTTGTATTGCATGCCTTAGTCCCTTGTGTTTATTTTCTGCATTTCTTTATATGTTTTAACATATTTTCCTTTGTCCACTTCTCATTTAAATAGAAGGTTTATGAGAAATGTTATGGTCTGACTTAGGTGGAAGTGGAAGCACTTATAATTCAAGGACCAAAACTTGACACAGGTATTTTGAGTCCTATCATACAATCACCAACAATTTGCAACTGTTTAATGCCATATTTTCAAAATTTCTCTAGTTACTCATGTATTTTGAGTTTTGTAAATGATACAGTGATTGTAAGTTAGTAATTACTTTTTACCGTCTATGTGAAAGTAGCTTAGTAGCAGTGGTTGTTATTTTGGATTGAAGTTCTTTATAATTTGGATTTATTTTGAATTTAATTTGTAGTTTGTAGCTCAAAATGTGTTATTTGACTAAAAATATAATCTAATAATCTGACTAAACCGTTCCTATCAATCCGTAACCCGTTCTAACCCAACCCGTCAAAATCGATTAAGAAAATGGACATAATTGTGCCTATATGGCTCAACCGCAGGTTGTGATGAGTGAGGTTTTTATGTTCGAAACCGCTCAATCCTTCCCGTTGTTCAGCTTTACATACCACCAAATAATACCTTAACACAATATCACTAACATCATTAAGTGTCAAAATCTCTCCCCTCCAAACTTGAGTGAATTTATACTACTCAACACCATCCAATGATTAATAAGTTTTTTAGTGCCTACAAAAACAAAAACAAAAAATGAAAGATATTTTAAAATATCAACCCAATAAATAAAGGGTTCAAAAGCATTACCAATGTTTTTATGTCCAATGTCCAATATTCCGCTTCAGTGATTGATAAGGAAATGACCTTCTGAAGTGTTGCTTTCCAACTGATTGATGTCCCAAACATAGTGAACACATATCCAGAACTAGACTTTCTAGAATTAATACAACCTGCATAATCAGAGTCGGCATATCCTTCGATTGGTGCTTTACTATCTTCACCCAAGGCTCCACTATAAATTAGGACTCTATTCAGATACTCATTTATGTATCTTAGAATCCACTTCAATGCTTGCCAGTGAGCCTTTCTGTAACGTCCTGATTCTGATTTCCCATTTTGTTGAGTCTTTTATTTTATTTGGGTGATTATTATTTTATTTGTGGAATTGGTGTGTTAATATGTTATGTTTGCATATTGTGTTATTTTATCGTTTATGAGTTTTCGGGGAAATTAGGTTGGAGGGTATTTTAGATATTTCTTAATTAATGATTAAGTTAGATATTTTGTGAGAAAATGAATTATGAGATATTTTGAGAGAAAAAGTAATAGAAAGGAATTAGAATAGAAAGATATAAGAGAGAAAGAGGAGAGAAAAGAAAAAGAAAGAAGAAAAAGGAGAGAAAGAAAGAGGAAGAAGAGAAAAGAGAAGAAAAAGAGGAAAAGCTTGGAAATCTTCAAAACAACTTCTAGGAATCGATTTAATCGGATAAGGGTGTGAAATCTTATTATCTCATCACTGTATATCATTATGTATTTGTTTGGTTGGATTGTTTGGTTGTTTTTCTACATATTTCTATTTAAGTCGAATTGGATTAAATCGATAGAAACCGATGTTTTCACGGTTAGAATTCGAAATAAATTATGTAGTTTAGTCGAGGAATGTTAGGCCGAGAATATTGGAACTTGTTTGATTGAAATCGGGTGATTTTGTGACTTTCTGACATTTTTGGATAATGGAGGATTTGAGTAGCGAAGTATTCGCTAGGCGAATCACTGGCGAGTGAGGTAGCAAAGGGTTCGATATGCAAGCACTCAGCGAGTTGCCATCGAACACTCCCAGACTTGGGCAGAACCAAAAAGACCCAAACTCGCTAGAGCGAGTGGAGTAGCGAAGGACTCGCCATTTTGCTTGCCTAGCGAGCATGACAACACAACATTTTCTTTTTATTCCATCCAACATCGGTTCTTCGACTCGGATGTGATTAACCTTATCCCGAACGTGTAGCTTGTGTGCTGTTATATGATGTGTTGTGGGTAGCCGTATGGCGTGAATCCTAGATGGTGGAATCTATTGTGAATTATGGTCTTTTGGAAAATAAATGCATTGTTTAAATTAAATGTGAATGCATGATGATTGTGATAGAGTTCGTTGCCATTTAGGTGGTAAAGCGATGCTCGTTGCCGTTTGGCGTAATTGATGTGAATGTATATCGATTGTATGTGATAGTATGAGATGAATGCATAAATATATTATGAATATGTATGCATTTCAAGAATGTCTTGAGTCATTTTGTATGTGAAGCATAATGATGTGCATTCTTGTGTTGTGGGATTCTAATGAGAATCCGTTGTAACATCGTGTGCCTATGTGAGGTGTGAGCGATGATTACAAACGATTGTGTGCCTATGTAAGGTGTGAGTAATCAGACTATGTGCCTATGTGAGGTGTGAGCAATCCATAAACATTGTGTGCCTATGTGAGGTGTGAGCAATGGGTGAACATTGTAGGCCCGGCGAGGAGTTACATTAGTAACGAGCGATGGTTCCAATAAGTTCTTGAGTGAACTTGAGATGATTGAGTCGGTATCGTATTGCATTTGCATAGAGTCGTGAGTCGGTCTCTATGATTTTCATTTATCATCTTTACAATAATGCATTGGTGAATAAACATAAATGTGTATGTTTATGTGGAATGATAAGAATTGTGAAAGTATGCATGATGAATATGCTTGGTTTTATATCTATATATATACATTGTGATGTATATGAGTGATTTGTGGTGAATTGTGTTGAGAATGTAGAATATGTGTATTTTATGCTATGATATATAATTATATGCATTGTTGTTATGATAATATTTCTCACCCTTCTGCTGTTTTATGATGCTCTATGAGGCATTGCAAAGTAGGTAGGCTAGAGGTCTTTTGTGAAGCGTGTCTTTATTCTTTTGGTCGGTCGGCTCTGATATGTAGCACCGGGTAGCTAGGATGTTCATGATTCTTTTGTAATACATTTGTATATGTATCTTATTGATGAATGTTTATGAGAACATGTCTTATGTTGTTGAATCAAACTGGATGATATATATATATATATATATATATATATATATATATATATGTATATATATATATGTATATATATATATATATATATATATATATATATATATATATATATATATATATATATATATATATATATATATATATATATATATATATATGTATGTATGTATATATGTATGTATATATGTTTGACGTTATTCAATGTTTAGATTTTCCGCTTTTATTCTAAATGTTGAGATGTGGGTGTAAGGACTGAGTTCCTCTGTTACAAAGTTACCCCACTGTTGCATATCTTTTGTTGAGCAGGTGTTGTATGTTTTAATTTCTTGCGTAATGTGACTCGCCCATTTTATACTATGTTTATAATTATACTCTGATGAAATTTTAATATGTGACTAATTGATTATGTGATTATTTGGGGGTATAGAAAAGGGGTGTTACATTAAGTGGTATCAGAGCCAGTGTTGAGTCAGTTGTGTTTGTCTTGTTGTTGTGATGGTTGAACGGTTGTTTAACCTTGTTTTTATTTTTGGGAATGGTCAGAATATGGCTGGTCGAAACGACAATGCGATGGCTGCTGCTTTGGAAGTAATGGCCAGGGCAGTGCAAGGTGCACCGAACGTGAATGCTAATGATGAGTTCAGGAAGAATCAACCACCGGTCTTCAAAGGAAGATTTGATCCCGATGGTGCTCAAATTTGGTTGAAGGAGATTGAAAGGATCTTCAAAGTCATGGGTTGTGCGGAGGGGAATAAGGTGAGGCTTGGGTCTCACATGCTGAAGGAAGAAGCTGACGATTGATGGGTCGGTATGCGTCAAGTTCTTGAGGTGGATGATGAAAAGATAACTTAGGATTTATTTCGTACTGAGTTCTTGGTGAAGTATTACCCTGAAAGTGTGAAATGGAAGAAGGAGATGGAGTTCCTTGAACTAAAACAAGGTAGTATGTCTGTGGTGGACTATACTGCTAAGTTTGTGGAGTTGGTTCAATTTCATCCTTACTATGCTGCAATTACTGCTGAGTTCTCAAAGTGTATTAAATACGAGAATGGTTTGCGTCCCAAGATTAAGAAAGCTATGGGATATCAAAGGATAAGAAGGTTTATGGATTTGACTGAATGTTGTAGAATCTTCGAGGAAGATAGCAAGGCTCGTTCTACACATTACAAAAGTTTGAATGAGAGGAAGGGAAAGCAACAAGCTAGAAGTTGACCTTATGTGACACTCGTTGATAAAGGCAAGCATAAGGGAAACTTTGATAAGAGATCTGGAAGAGGAGGTTCTGGTTCCGTTAAGTGTTACAAGTATGGTGAATTGGGTCATAAATCATTTGAGTGTGGGAAGACCGTAGTGAAATATTCTAATTGTGGAGGCCTTGGGCATGCTACTACTGATTGTAGGAGGAATGTAGTGAAGTGCTATAATTGTGGAGAAGTGGGTCACATTAGTACTAAGTTTACTAAGTCGAAGCAAGCTCAAGCGGGCAGAAAGGTGTTTGCGTTAGCTGGGTCAGACACTACTAGTGTAGTTCATTTGATTAAAGGTACATGCTTTATTAGTGGCACGCCTTTAGTTGCTATTATTGATACTGGAGCGACTCATTCGTTTATTTCTTATGATTGCGCTAAGCGTTTGAATTTGTTCGTGTCTTCTTGGGATGGTGATTGAGACTCTCGCTTCAGGGTCGGTAACTACATCTTTGGTGTGTGTAAGTTGTCCTTTGACCATGTATGGTAAAGACTTTATTATAGATTTAGTGTGTTTGCCGTTGGAGGGATTGGACGTAATCTTGGGTATGAACTGGTTGCAATTTAATAGAGTTCATATAGATTGCTACCATAAGTTGGTGAGGTTTCCTTCTTTGGAAGATGATGAAGATGAGAGTTTCATATCCACTAAAGAGTTGAAGAAACTTTTAGCGGACGAAGCTCAATTGTTCGGTTGTTTGCATCATTGTCGGTGGAGAGTAAAGTTGAGCTCGATGTGTTCTCAGTGGTGTGTGATTTTCCAGAAGTGTTTCCGGAGGATATTACAGATGTACCGCCGGAAAGAGAAGTTGAGTTTTCTATTTATCTAGTTCCTGGTACTAGACCGGTTTCGATGGCACCGTATCGTATGTCGGCATCGGAGTTGGTAGAATTGAAGAAGAAATTGAATGACTTGTTGGACAAGATATTTGTAAGGCCAAGTGTTTCTCCTTGGGGTGCTCCGGTATTGTTGGTAAAGAAGAAGGATGGGAGTATGCTGTATGCGTTGATTATCGACAATTGAATAAGGTGACAATTAAGAACAAGTATCCTCTTCCAAGGATCGATGATTTTATGGACCAATTGGTTGGTGCGCGTGTTTTTAGCAAGATTAGTTTGAGATCGGGATATCACCAGATTCGTGTGAAAGAAGAGGATATTCAAAAGACAGCCTTTAGGATACGGTATGGCCATTACGAATATTTTGTGATGCCATTCAAGATTTCTAATGCGCCGGGTGTATTTATGGAATACATGAATCGTATTTTTCATGAACAGTTAGATCATTTTGTGGTTATGTTCATCGACGATATTTTAATTTACTCTAAGTCTCAAGAGGAGCATGAAGAGCATTTGAGGATTGTGTTACAAATTTTGAAAGAGAAACAATTGTATGCTAAGTTGTCGTAATGTGAATTTTGGTTGTCGGAAGTAAGTTTTCTTGGACATGTTATTTCCGGTAGTGGTATTAGTGTTGATCCATCCAAGATTGATGCGGTGATGCAACGGGAGGCTCCTAGATCGGTTACAGAGATTCGAAGCTTTTTAGGCTTGGCAGGTTATTATCGAAGGTTTATTGAGGGAGTTTCGAAGTTGGCACTTCCGTTAACGCAATTGACTTGTAAAGGAAAGGCTTTCAACTGCAGGTTGTGATGAGTGAAGTTTTTAAGTTCGAAACCGCTAAATCCTTCCCGTTGTCCAGCTTTACATACCACCAAATAATACTTTAAAAATGTACTTTCTCCTATTTTATAATCAAAATAAAGTTTAATTTTATTCTACGTATGAGACATAATACCTTAACACAATATCACTAACATCATTAAGTGTCAAAATCTCTCCCCTCCAAACTTGAGTGAATTTATACTACTCAACACCATAAATAAAGGGTTCAAAAGCATTACCAATGTTTTTATGTGTTTTAAGTCTTCATTGGTGACCACAATTTAATATAAAAAATTTTCCTATTAATATCATTCTTAATATTATGCAGTTTTATTTTGGAAACCATTCAAAAAAATTCGATTGAACCAACATTTAGGTCAGCCTAATCATTTTAGAGGATCAGTTCTAATTTTAAAAATAGGTTTAAATATTTAAAAAGAATACAATTATAATAACTAAAAAAGACATAAAAAATACAATTATGTATTAATAAAAAAATTTAATTATAATTGAATTTTGATCAATCTCAATTTTTATATGTATTAAGTTTTTATCATAGTATTATTTTGACTTATTGGATTTTTATTATAATAATTTATTTATTTCTATTAATATTTATGGAAAATAGTGGACGTTTTAAAATTTGAAATCTTCTAAAATTTAAAACTATGTGCTTTGTGGTCCATTATAAGAATCCAATTATATATTTTTAGTACACAATTACACATAAAACAATTGAAGTTGAAGATATTTAGAACTTCCACAAAATCAAATCTCATTCAACCTCATCACCACAAGCAAAATATTCAAAACATAGGTTGAAGAGCCAAACTAATAAAAAACAACAATAAACATAAACCATTCATCACAAATTATGATGGAATATTTAAGAACTTTTTTACCCTCTCAACTTATACCATTTTGTTTCCAAATTTATCTATTAACATTCACATGTATTAAGTAAATATTATCATCACTATATTTAAACACATATACAAGAGTACAATTCTGTTAATATAATTATGCTATAATGATAAATCACATCAGATTTTGACTAAGTAAATTAGCCAAGTGCCATCAAAGCATTAGTATCTAAAAATAGGGCTTCCATGAGTCATTTATTTTTGGAAACGTAATAGTTTTCTAATAAGTGTTAGTATGAATGCTAAAATTATGGAAATGTGAATAATAATAGGGAAACACCTTTTCTAAATTTTGACCATGTAACTTTTGATCTATAATAATAACAACTAAAAAAATACAACAAGATGTCACAATGTTCATGAGTAACAAATGTCCTTCATTTGAGAGCATAAAGCTCGCATTCCTCATACTTTTTGCAATTTCATTTTGTTTCTCTTTGATCTTTTTGCTAGTCATCACCTTTGTCCCCTCTAATGTAAAGTTCTACATAAGTGATGCTTCCCTCACAAAGTTCAAAGTCATAAGCAACAACACATTGGATTTCAAATTCGAAGCCAACATCACATCAAGAAATCCCAACAAGAACGTTGAAATATACTATCTGACGATCACCGCGATTGCATTGTACAAAGATTATAACTTTGCTACGGTGAATTTGTCATCTTTTAATCAAGGCCACAAGAATACCACTTTTATTAATTTAGTGTTTGAAGGGAAGAGTGTACTAAAAGATAAACAATTATTTGAGTATAATGAAGAGTCGCGTTTAGGGATCTATAATGATTTCGCTATTGATTTGGATCTTTTAGTCATGTATAAGTTTGGAATTTACAAGACTTGGCCATATAATCCACCATTTGTGAAATGTCGTCGATTAAGTCTTTCTTTGATTTCTAATAGTAACTCATCACCACCTTCTTTTCATGTTACAAAATGTATAACCGGCTATTTCTTTGGTAATCGATGATCATTTTTAGCCATTAAATGAGTTAACCCTATGGATTTTGTTTAAATTTTGTTATTTGATATAGAACTTGTTTAATTTTTCGATCATAGAGTTGTATAAAATTACATGCATAATGCTTGTATATAAAATGCTATGTGTGTATGTGACTTATGTTAGGATTGGTTACTTTGAAATTGTGATTCGAGTTGAAGCATGAAAATTTATAAATGTCTTTTATAGTTTATTTTATAATTTGGATTTGTTGTGAATCAGATGTCTTTAAACAAAATATAAATTGTTTTTTTATGATTAAGAAACACACAAGGGTTAGGGTTAACAAAAAAAACGTAAAACAAAGATTGGTTATAAACTGTTATTCTTTCATTTCTCTTAGAAACAAGATTACAAGTATACAAGAATAAAAAAATAACCTCTTTCTTGAAATTAGGATTTTATCTTCCTATTTTTCCTTATGCCAAGATGAGAGACTAGCATCCTATTTATAAGAAAAATAGCACACTAACCTAATGAGCTTTTAAACAATTACTCATTACAAGCTAACTTAGGGTACAAGCTAACTTAAACCATTGGGCTTACAAGCAAGACGCAATTCAACATGCTAATAAACCTAGCAATATTGACTAATGCATGTCAAAACAAACTTAAACTACAACACACATTACTCCAACAACAACACGTGAATAGACTTCGACCTCATACTTAATTCATGTCGAACTAGAAGCTACCTTTTGACTATACTAGAGTTCGATCCAATACCTCACAAATCCCCACCTTGGATCTAACTCTATAACATCAAGAAACTAGCTTTCTTCATGCCGCTTTATCAACTGCATACAGTGGAAAAACTTGCAACTGGACAACGTCTTGGTGATCATATCAGCACCATTATGATTTGTTGAAACCTTCAGCACTTGGACTTCTCCACGCTCGATTACCCCTCTGATGAAATACAGCCTCACATCAATGTGTTTGGTTCGCTCATGATAGGCTGAATTCTTCGACATGTGTATTGCACTTTGACTATCACATTTAACAATGATACCTTGATCTTGAAGTTTCATCTCCTTTGCAAAACCTTCAAGCCACAATGCTTCCTTCACAGCTTCAGTTAGGACGATATATTCCACTTCAGTGATTGATAAGGAAACGACCTTCTGAAGTGTTGTTTTTCAATTGATTGATGTCCCAAACATAGTGAACACATATCCAGAACTAGACTTTCTAGAATTAATACAACCTGCATAATCAGAGTCGACATATCCTTCGATTGCTGCTTTACTATCTTCACCCAAGGCTCTACTATAAATTAGGACTCTATTGATTATGTGATTATTTGGGGGTATAGAAAGGGGGTGTTACACTTTCTAGGATTCGCCATGTACCTCCTTACAAGACTTACTGCATATGTTATATCAGGCCTAGCACAAACCATATCATACATCAAAGAACCCACTATATTAGCATATGGAATGCTATTCATATAAGTTATTTCGACATCAGTGTTGGGACACTGATCTATACTCATCTTGAATTAAGAGTTTGGCGGAGTCACAACAGGCTTTGAATTCGATATACCAAACTTTTCGAGAATCTTCGACATGTATGCCTCTTGAGATAAGCATAATTTCGACTGCTTTCTATCTCTTCAGCTGTCAATCCAAAGAATCCTGGACGCAACTCCCAGATCCTTCATGTCGAACTCCTTGTTAAGTTTAGCCTTTACCCTCATTACATCTTCTACATTGTTGCTTGCTATTAGAATATCATCCATATAAAGCAACAAAATAACAAATGAATTACCAGGTCGAAATCTGAAGTAAACATAGTGGTCGAACTGACTTCTAATGAAACTTATGTGTGCCATGAACTTGTCGAATCTCCTATTCCACTGTCGAGGAGATTGTTTCAGACCATATAAATATCTATTCTGCTTGCACACATAATCTTCCTTCCCTTTTCTACATACCCTTCAGGTTGCCTCATAAGGATTGTTTCATCTAGATCACCATATAAGAATGCAATATTCACATCCATCTGTTCCAGTTCAAGGTCGAATTGTGCCACTGTGGCAAGCAAAATTCGAATAGATTTGTGCTTCACAACAGGAGAGAACACATCATTAAAGTCGATACCTTCTTTCTGAGTGAACCCCCTAGAGACCAATCTTGCCTTGTATCTCTTCGACGCCACTCCTTCGATTCCTTCCTTAACTTTAGAAATCTATTTACATCTGACTAACATGGCTCTAGCAGGTTTCTTGATCAGTTCCCAGGTATTGTTATCATGAAGAGATTTCATCTCATCATCCATGGCCTTAAGTCATTCAGTCTTCTTTCGACTCCTCATGACTTCCTTATAGTCTCTAGGTTCTTCATCTAGAACCTCACTTTTAGAGATTAAGGCATAAGCTATAAGATCTGCATACCCAAGTCTCTGAGGCGGCTTGATGACTTTCATCTACCTGTCTCTTACTAGAAGGTAGTCATTATCCGTCTTTTCATCTTCGACAACATCTTCTGCATCTTCTTCAACTTCATCTAGGGTATGCAATTCAACATCAACATGCTCCACCTCTACAGGAATCTCTTCCTGTTCCAACTCTTCATCAGCATCATCAGTTTTCTTGAAAGCCATTTCTACTTCATTGAAAACTACATCTCGATTCGTGATACACCTCCTATGACCTGGCTCTAGGAACCATAACCTGTAAGCTTTGACTCCTTCAGGGTATCCCATGAATATGCATTTCAGAGCTCTAGGTTCGAACTTGTCTTGCCTAATATGAGCATAGACCACGTCGATAAATACTCTCAGTTTGTTGAGACTAGGTGGATGTCCCGACCAAACTTCTTCAGGTGTCTTCATTCTCAAGGCAGTCGAGGGACATTTATTTATCAGGTAAGCTGCCGTCGAAACAGCTTCCGCCCAAAACACCTTCTTCAATCCAGCACTAACCAACATGCATATAAGCCTTTCAAGGATTGTTCGATTGAATCTTTCAGCTAAGCCATTTTGTTGAGGAGTACCTGCTACAATATTATGCCTTGCAATCCTAGACTCAACACAGTAACTGTCGAACCCTTCGTTGCAGAATTCAAGGCCATTGTCGGTTCTCAACCTCTTAACATTTCTGCCAATTTAAGTTTCGACCAGAATCTTCCAACTTTTGAAATTCTCAAAAGTTTCATCCTTCGTCTGAATGAATAACCATAGCTTTCTAGAATAGTCATCAACGGTACATAGAAAATACCTTGCACCTGAGTGTGAAGGATTCTTTGCAAGCCCCCAAAGATCAGCATGAATGTAATCTAGGGATCCATGTGTTCTTTGCTTGCCTTTGTTAAACTTCGTCCTACAGGATTTATCAAATACACAAGATTCATAAAACTCCAACTTTTCGACTTTGTCATCTCCTAACAGGTTCTGCTTCCCTAATTCGACCAGGCCTCTTTCGCTGACATAGACCAACCTCATGTGCCATAATTCTATCTTCGACACAGGTTTCATGGATGCAACATTTGTAGAACCACTTACAACCTCAGCCTCAAGGGTATACAAGCCTTATTTCTTCACGCCTCTCAAGACTTCCTTTGACCCCTTCATGACACTTAGGATACTTTCCTCTCCTTGAAAAACATATCCTTTCTGTCGAATTTACCAAGAGAAATCAAATTTCTCTTCAAGTCAGGTACATACCTGACTTCAGTCAATAACCTTATTGACTCATCATGGAGCTTGAATGTCACAGATCCAATACCTATAATTTTGCAAGATTTGTTGTTTCCCAACAGCATAGATCCACCATCTTGATCACATAGCTCCTCGAACAATTCTCTGTTTGGAGTCATGTGTCAAGTGCAACTTGAATCAATAATCCACTCTTTTCTCGAGTCGCCACTTAAAACCACAAGAACATCAAATGAGTCGAAGTCATCTTGAACAATGGTTGTGTTGCCATTACCTCCAAGATCTTTCAGGCGTTCAGGGAACACCTTTCTTGGGTGACCCTCCTTCTTACAGTTATAACATCGAATACCAGATGTTTCGCCATTATAAGACTTCTCCTAACTTTTACCTTTCTTCTTGTCGAACTTACCATCCTTTTGTAAGAATATTCCCTTAACGGCCAAACCTTCGCCCACTGTTGAAGGTTTATGCTCCTTTCATTTATTCAAGTCCTTAGAATACAAGGCTGATTGAACTTCTTCAAAGTTCAGAGACTCCCTTCCATACAAGAGTGTTTCTTTGAAGTGAGCATTTATTCTGGTGAAAGCACACAACAACAATAACAGTGCTTGATCTTCATCATCGATCTTCATATCAATATTTTCAAGATCAAGAATCAGCTTGTTGAACATATCCAACTGCTCATCCAACACTTTGTCTTCACTCATCTTGAATGAATACAAAGCTTGCTTCAGGTAGAGTCGATTCACTAGGGATTTGGTCATGTACAAACTTTCAAGTTTCGCCCTTAACTCTGATGTTGTAGTCTCCTTTGATACCTGTCGAAGAACCTTATCACCAAGGCTCAACAACACTGTGTTGTGGACTTTCTCAATCATTCCCATATTTTCTTTTTCCATTAACGCATTGTCCATGGCTGCCTCTCCTTTCAACGCTTCCAAACAACCCTTCTCAACCAGTAGGGCTTTCATCTTCAAGCGCCACAGACCGAAGTCGTTCACTCCGGTGAACTTTTCAATATCATGCGTTGTTGAAGTCATCCTCTCCATGCTCACCGCACCAATTTGTTGTGAATCGGATGCCTTTAAACAAAATATAAACTATTTCTTTATGATCAATAAACACACAAGGGTTAGGATTAACAAAGAAAATAAGGTTAAACAACAAGGAACAATAAGGATTGGCTATAAACTGTTATTTTTTCCTTTCTCTTAGAAACAAGATTATAAGTATACAAGAATAACAAAATAACCTCTCTCTCTCTTGAAATTAGGATTTTATCTTCCTATTTTTACTTATGCCAAGATGAGAGA